AAATATAACCTTGCTGCAGTGGTTATTTCAAAAATAAGCCATGTGAAAACTAAGTAATGAACTTCACATGACACTAAACAGGCCTGCCACAACTCTCTCTGAAGATGGACAGCAAGATCTACAACACATCCATCTCGAGGTACCATGCTTGTGTGCAAGCAGACCTCACCCAGTCATCAACCACACCTCCAGCTGTGGATCCTAAATTTAAAGTTTAAAACTACCTGAACAAAGGCCACACCAGGACTTATTTTTAGCCTAACATTAAAAACTAGTCTGTCTGCATATCCCTTGGCAGATTGCCCTGAGTCTGTTCTACCTTTACTCTGGGCAGGCTAGACTCTCTTTAGCTCCAAACCAACAGCACCATGTTCATGTAATATTGTTAGCTCTAGGAGAGCATAGCGCCTTTGGACTGGAGAGACCTGGAGTGTGCAGAGATTGACCTGCAAAATAACATGTTTATCTACCATGGTCAATATAAAAGAGCTTCTGGTAAAGGTACCGTGTGGACTTGAGGGGGATGAAAGGAATTGATTGAACCTTATTCACACAGCACATTTTGCTGTGGTATGTACCAAGACTTGGGTTTGACTACGTGTGACCACTTATAGACCATATCATAGTACAGCCATTGTAACCACAGCCCACCAGGCTCTCATGTGTGAGAGAGAAAGTCCCATGGTGGAGAACGTAAATAAAGCATCCCCATCATCAATCATGCTTAACACTGGGGAAGACAGTAAAATGGGAGAGAGAGAGCATAAATGAATCCAAAATGAAAGGTCATGCATGCAGTCCAAGAACAGCACGAAAATAACAGTCAGTAAAGCTGTGGAACCAAACTGGAGGGCTGCACTTATCTGGAGAAAGATGGATTTTCTCATTCACCATCACAGCAATTTTTTAATGTCACTTCAGAGAGGGCTTAGGATCCCCAGTGGTTGGAGTAAAGGCCCAAAATATCAACAAACCAGAGAGCCTAGCTTCCATTCAGGTGCTTCATAAAATATCCCCAAGTCCTCATGTTCCCAGTACGATTCAGCACTCTCTCTCTCTCTCTCCTGTCCTTTCTCTTTCTTTGGTCTTCTCGCTTAATCCCAAACCTAGCTATTCTCCAGAGCACCAGTGGACAGAGATGAGATGGCCCTGCAAGAATTGCCCAATCTATATAGGCTGGTAAAGCAAGAAGACCTGACCAGACTGGCTATATGATGTCCCAGACATAGAACATGAACAGAGTCCAGGTAATCAAATGCAGTGATCTACATGTTGCTTCAGAGTATCTGTCTATGACCGACAATATTTTGTATCTTGACAGTATCAAAAAAACTACTTCCTCCACACAGCTTATATTTTCCTTTATCCTTAAGAATATACACATTTGTCAAAGATGAGGAAATGGACTAGAGGACAACTCACAATTCAAAAACAAGGAAGGAATTACCTGATCTTTTCAGAAATTTCAAGCATTGTTTTACCTTTTAGAAATGAAACGTCAATGAGGTTTCAGTATGTTTGTCCTGCATAAGCTTTCCTTTTTCAAAATGTTCTACAGATTGCTCTGATTCGTCTTACATTTTTGTCTCCATCAAGACATTTATAATCTTGGACACTAAGTTTCCTATTCTGTTTACCAAGTAGATATGTAGGCACAAACTTCTGAACCTTAACTGCTTCAGGCTGCACAGTGACAGGTTCACATTACCATTTTGAGAACTCTGGAGTAATTTCTGATGTTGAAATGTACATAAAGGACCTTTTTCTCTACATCAGGGCACCTGATCAAGTTACCTGCAAGTTCCTGCCTGTGAGCTGAGCTGCTGTAATCACCCAGCTACAGAGTCTTATCCTGTGACATATGTATAGTATGACTTATTTTTAACACTTTTCCACTATGGACCCAACTAACACATTTATCTCACATTTACTGGGCTGAATAGGTGGACCCTTTGCTAAAAGTAGTAGCACAGCTGCTCTTTCAATCCCCAGTGCTTTCTGAGGAGCACCTAGGATCCCCTCTACTCTGGCAATGCTCTGTAGCAAACATATATGTATAAGAATGTAGTACCATTCCAAAATATGCAATATCATGGAAGGATTTGCTCAGACACCAGAGATTTCTTTTCTGAATCTGGCCATCAAAGTCCAGAGATCTATATAGGATATAGATCTGTAAGATCTATACCACATTTCTGTGGCCAGGCTAGCACCCGTCCCCTGCCATGGCCCAGTTTGGTACACCTGCTAGATGGCCTTATCTTATCTGAAGGTACCCACACTACCAAATGAAGTTGAGTGGGATCCCAAGACCATGCACATGCCTTATAGTGGAGGCACCAAGAACCCCAACTCTTTCTCTGGCAGATCCCAAGTTGCATCCACATATATAAAGCAAGGATGAAAGGCAAATTTTGGTCCATGTAGCTCCCAGAATGCTGCACAAACAGATCCCATATCTTCTGAACGTTTTGTCTTTCTTGCAGGTCCAAACTGGTATGGAGACTGTCTCTACCTAGAAATAGAATGGGAGTTTGGGTTTCTTCATACTGTCATGAGGGCTGCCAGAACCATATGAAGCAGGGTCTCCATCAAAAGGAACCTACTTCAGACAACATGTGGGCAGGAGGAGCAGCACTTGCTGAAGAGAACCCCTGAACAGCAGTATGTGTGTGGTATGGCAGTATAGATGCTCACAACAAGCTGTGGTGGAACTCTGCCTCCTCGTCCTTTGGTTACAGATGTCAGGTGCCAGGCAGGCATTCAAAGAGGCTGAGATGGAAAGCAGTGTAACAAAAAATGTTTCCAAAGAGCAGGGAAAAGCCCTTTGGAGACCTGGGTCACATTTTGAGTAGCATCTGGTGTCCAAACTGGATGCATGTTAAAGTCCAGCAAGCCAAAATGAGCAGTGCCTAGATGTCTGTAACTCCTGGAGAAGAGGAGGAAAGCAGGATGTAGTAGCATTTGCTGGAAGCTTCATTTAGAGGTGCTAAAAAGGCTTTAATTGCACTCCAAGAGGGAGATATATCTAATATCCCACTCCTGTTCCCAAGGCAGACATAGAGAGGAAGGCTAGACTATCAAGGAAGGAACTAGGATCTTCAGGGAAAGTGATAGTTAAAACCTCATACGCCAAGCGAGCAACAAGGAAATGGGAAGAGGAGGCACAGGGCAATCCAGAGAGAGAGGGTCCCCCGCTAAAGAGCCAGCTGAGCTGCGAGAGATCACAGCGAGCTTCGTGCCTGCTTCGCACCAGAGCCATGGACCAAACATGAGCGCAGACGAAGTTCCATCAGCAAGCAGCCCTCCTTTCCTGAGCAGCTCCAGCTCTAGTTCCGACCAAGTGTCAGCTCACATAGTGCTTTCTCTACACGATGTTTAAAACCCAGTAGATCATTTAAAGTCTTTCACTGAAACGAGAAGACAGCCTACAGGTGCCAGGCAAACTTTAAAGTATAGGTATTTAAAAGAAGTGCAAGAACTTTAAAAAAGAAAAAAAAAAAAAAGATACTTGTAGCTTTCCAGATCATCACATCCCACAACAGTTTCTTCAGCTCCTCCATATTTTATACGCATGTGCAATTGATAGCAGTGACTGCATGTAAAAATTAAGGGGGAGCATGATCTATTCAGGTAACATTTGAGAGATATTAGGAAAAAAAAAGGAACATAAAAGAAAAAGACAGCTACAACTCTAACTCTGGAGATTTTACTATCCTTTACATCAGTAAGAAAGAGAAGCACACAATTAAGGACGACAGTCCCACAAAGCAGATGCGAAAGTTTCTCCAAAGGAGAAATTTTCATGCAGGCCACATGGCATTTTTGAAAGTTTCTTCTGTACTGTTAAAATTCTGCTTTCAATGAAATCAGCATGTATCTAAAGCAATAAATACATAGCATGAATCTATGCTAGTGAACACTGTGGTCATTGCATTAACGCTGCTACATCTCAATATATTGTCAGCAGTAGAGTGGATGGCTAAGAAGAACATGAGTAAATTAAGTGCAGCTTTATAATCAGGAAAGCTGCTAAAGGATATCTGGCCAATGCCTTGCTGTGGCTGAAATTAAAGATTTCCTTTAAAATCAGAAAAGAATCAGTCTTCCAAGCAGAAAACATCTGCATTAAATCTCAAAGGCAGAATTGTCAACACACAAGCACAGCCAACTATGTTGTCAATTCTGGGCAGGAGCAACTGGAATGGAAATATAGCACAGATTTTAAAATAACTGCCTTGTCCAAGACTCTCTGGGTGTACGCTCGTTTGGACGGGATCCTGACAGGCTGTCCAGAGTGCTGACTGTGTCTGGGTTGGGAGATGACACTGAAAGTGGGGACACACTCCACTGCAGAAATAATTCCTGTACCAGAAAGAGATGAACACAGGGCCAGATACGTGACTTCTAGATTTGCATTCATATATATCACTCTCTGCTTTGGCTTTTATATTTGTGCATTTTCTATCGTGCACAGGACAATCCAATAGAAAGCAATGCTAAAGCATTTCCACCAAATGCAATCAAATTAATGTTTCAGGAAATCTGTTCCTGACTTCTTTAGGCTTAGGAGAAAATGCGATGGCATGGTTCAGCCATATTTTCTGCATTTTTTTTCTTATGACATACACTCAGAAGACTCATGTCTCTTTCCTTGTCTTTTTTCCTTTGTTTTTCATATCTATATCTTACCAGTATCAAACCCAGGTATTAAAAGATCTGTTAGTGCTTAAAATCTAGCTGCTGTTTCAAGTAGCATGTTCTTCATATAACCACTGCATTAGTTATCATCTTTCTCTCTAGATTAGACACCAGCAACATAAATTGCATTTTTGAAGGATTTAGTGAAAGATCAATGGCTTTGGGAAAAATCAAAGTGAAATAGAAATTAAAGAAGATTCCAGAAGGCAATAAAACATTCACACAAAATGTTTTGTAAGAATAAAACAAATAAAGGGAAAGAAACTATTGGAAGGGAAAGGGAGAGGAGAGGTACTTACACTCTTCTTCCATAACAACTATTTTAGTTTCTGAGGCTGGTAAGACTTGTGGTGCTTTCGTTGTTCCTAGGGAAATTAAGGTAAGAAAGTAGTGAACAAAATATCTAGCTTGACCACAGAAGGGTGGGCTTAGCTATTGCGGGGAGGAGGATGAGAGCAGATACTGCTTGGTGGCACAGGCTGGAGAAGCTGTGGACATGTTAGTACTGGGTAGAGTATATTTATTTGGATAATCAGGTAAAAGAGGCAAATAAATAAGTGCCCCTGTAGAGGATGGCACAGTGCAGGTCAGTTCCCTGCTATAAAAAGATTCATGCCATTAGGATCTCTGTCAGGATAAAAAGGCATAAATGGTTCAAGATACGTAGCTCAGAATTCACCAGGTAAGATGGGGAGTGAAATGGTGGGAAGTTCTCTTAGCCTTCATGGCCATGAGTATGCGAAGATGAGATCATGGAAGATAACGAGTAAAATATGAAGTTGTGTTAAGAAAGATAGGATCATACGATGAACCTCCATCCTGTTCAAATGTCTGCAGTTCTTCAACATAAACTAATGCTTTCATAAGAGATGGAGGAATGTATACTAGATGAAGGTCATGGCCCAAGGTCCGAGGCAACACAGGAGCTAGAACAATAGTTCTTTCCTCCTTATAAGCCACGTTACTAGGAAAATCCAGCATTCACCAGCTCTGTGCAAACTGGCTGGATCAAAGCCTCTCCTATCAAAAGGTAAAAAATTGTCCAAGGAGAGAGCACCAGCAACCCATGCAACAGGGCCATAATTTACCCTTTCAAAGACAAGGAAAAGAGCACCAAGAAATAGTAAATAATAAGACAAGAGAAGAACTTTTTTTTTTAAAAAAAAAAAAAGCTCACACAAAATATTGATTTTTCTTGAGGTGCTTAGCAAAGACAAGGAAAAGGGGGAGGAGAGGTGGGGTTCAACCAAGGGAATGTGTAGAAATTTAAGGAAAAGAGAGGCTAAAGCAAACACATTTCAGATGCTTCCTCATCCCACTTCCAATGACAATACTAGACTGTTCAATAAAAAGAACTAGGATTTTTTCTTTTTTTTCTTAAGAATGCATTTGACTTGCCAAAAAAAAAAAGAAAAAACCCTCTGATAATAGCACCAAAGTACAATATGCTTTGGCCAAAACCAGAAGCATGTCCTCATAAAAGTGACACTCTCCCAAAGCTTTTCTAAGCGGAAACTTTTATTTCTGTGCTCAGTACTTTGTGAAAATACCAGAATTACAGAAGAGAGATGAGCTGCCGGGTTTGGAAGATGGGCATTTTTCTGAGTGACAAACAGTTGCTGTATTGTCACCACTCCTTTTTAAAGAAAATCTCTTTTCACTGTAGTGTTCTCATTGATTTGCAACAGATTTGCAGGAGTGAAATAGTCCTCCTTTGAAATAGATATAAACCAAAAACTAATAGTGGAATAAAGCTAAAGCAAAAAGTACTTTGCAAAGGTAATTCTGCCTCACAAGGCTGAAAAATTATTACCAACAGACTGAACCTCAGATAGTAATCACCATGTGCCTGAATATCTCATGTGTGAACTTCTCCTCTGCTAGCTGGGACTCAAGTGGGCTCAGGAGCCTCCATCTCTGGCCTTTGTACCCCCCCTGAAGGGGAAGAGCACATTAGGCTAAACGGGCTCCTCACTTTCCTCAATGCTCAACTCAATCTTCAAGAGCTTAGGCAGCTTGTACCACTTTTTGCAATGCCATGTTCCTGCAGAGGCATCCAGAGGTTTCCCCAAACTTTGAGTCTCCAAATCACAAGATGTGCTGTTAACTCAGAACCTTTTCCCGGGCCTGGATTCAACCATCTGTAAGTATCAGAGCAAAATTACAGTGTTTCCAATAGTACTGCTAAGTGTCAGGTCACTACATGCATTTACAGCAGAAGGCCCCAGAGCATCAGTCTCAGGCAGTCTGCCCAGTAGAAGCAGATACACCATGTCCAGGGACAGGGCAGTAAGAAGCAGCAGGAGCTGCTCAGGGAAAAGTGGGAAGCCTCCAAAGTGAGGCTAGATCTTGCTACAACTCATCATCACTCTTATGGACTTCTAGTTCTTTACAGAACAATATGTGGGGACTTAGTTCCAATAGGATCAGTGCTATGGAGCCAAGAGAACAATGCAGGCAGGGACAGCAGGATGCATGTTTGTGGATGCAAAGAGAAGTAGGTAGGAGGTTTCTGTTGGAAATATAGAAGAAGTAGGCTTGCAAAACTGAAGTGAGGAAAACTATCTGGCTCACAAGAAGGCCTAGCAGCAAGGATGGCTTGGAAGGAAACAAAGAGGGAGACTCCAGGGGAAGAAGCGCAGAGAGACAGATGAAAGATGCTTGGCTCTGGGAAACTCCAAAAGGAAGCAGTGCAAAGTGAGACAGAGTGGCAGAAACTTACAGAATCACCATCATCTTCCCTTTGCATAGCACTGCAAACAGTATTCAGTTGCAAATGCTTGCTGTGCTGTTAGGTGCCCCTCAAACAGCAGCAAAGGTGTGCATGCAGCTGAGAACCACAAGCCAAAGGCAGATTTATAAGGCAGCTGAGAGAATGGATTAATCAATAGTAGGACAAACCATGTAATCTTCTGTCTATTGCATCTGCAAAGCTTTGCAGCCTGCAGCTCCTTATAGGCAAAAGGGCAGGCCAGATGTTTGGGTCTCTTCATTGATTTACTAGTCTCAACATATTGGTGGGCAGCCCAAACGCTTCCTTGCACTCTGCAAGACCTGAGCGGGAGCCAGCCGCTGCTCCTGTCTTTGCTATCAAACCTCCATGTAGTGGAAGACTTGTACACTGCCAAATGCCGCTGTTACTTGTACATGCAGGAAGATGTAGTACAAAGTTGCAGTGGCCTGACTTGCATTTTCCTGGTACAAAAAGTAGAATGCAAGGTCGAAGCACCGTTCAATCAGATATGCCTCCTCTAGTGAAAAAGTATCGCTAATGACAGGGAAGGGCAAGAGGACGTAGACAGAGTTCTGTTTGCAGAACGTGTACTGCTCATGCATGCTCCATGGGGGATTTTGCACAAGCAGCTCTCCATTGAAACGGGGATAGTGTGCACTGGTGTTGGACAGACAAGAGCATGAGACAGTGAAGAGGAGCAGCATGGCCTCACTTAGCTAACTCTGGACATCTTTTCTATTACAACTGAAAAAAAAATCACAGCAGAGTTTTAGGGCTAGCCTCATAGAAGATTCGACATGGATTCATAGACAGAAGATTCAACATGGATTGCCTTTTACCTCTGGAGTCCTTTGGAACAGGCATGGCACTCGCATTCTACTGGGCAACTAACTGAAGGGGAGGCTATGTGACAATCCAGCCTTACAAAATAAAGATTTGGGACTGCAAACACTGCTGAGGCAGAGGTTAATAGAGAAATAAGATAGCAGGACAAAGCTACCTTCCTTCACATGTGACTAATGCTAAAAAGAGCACAACAGCATAGAAGCTGGGTGGCATCGAAGGGCTGATAACACAGAGCCCAGGCTCCCTCAGTGGCTTGTGAATGGCAGGAGAAAGAGCTTAGAAAATGAGATTTGTACAAAGTCATCCCTCCCTAAGTTGTACCCTTCAAGCTTCTGGTAATCATTTTAGGGACTTTCAGAGCTGAAGGGTACACCCAAACCATCATGTTAAGCAATGCAATTGTAATGCCCAAGATAATAAAACCACCTAACCTCAGGCTCCATCCACTGAGCTCTAAGAGATGGAGCACACACTCTAGGATGAAAAACAGAAGCAACTTCACTCATTACAAAGCTATGGTTTATTTTTTTGTCTTATGGTGAATTTTGCTTCTCAGAAATTCTTTTAAAAAAAGAAAACATCAAGCCCACCAGCTTTCTATCCTCCTTCCCCCCTTTAAAAAACCCATAGTCTGCAAGTTTATTTAAAATGTAAATCAACACATTGCCAGTGACAGATAACAAAGACAAACATTTATGCTAAGTTGCATTTTTCTTATCTCCCAAGATTAATTTACTTGATATACTTAAAGTATGAAACAAAATTCAAGATGAAGCATGTGCAGAACCTCCTGTTATCTGCTTGAATGGCAGACAGCTTGAGACATTTGCTAATTTCTAACTTTTTTTTTTTCTCTGCTTCGCAGCTGTACTCCCCAGCATCTTCCAGCTTCACCTTGTTGAACTGCAGTCTGGAAATCTTTCTGTTGAAAAGTACAGCAGACATTTCTTATTCAATTGCTAACCATCTTCATGAACTGATAACCATTCCTGACCCTGATAAGTTGCCTAATAGGTCAACCCATCTTGAGCAGATGGATGGTCTGACTTTGCAAGCTGGATAGGCTCAAGCCTAGTCAGGTTCTGGATGAGACCCTTCCCAAAAATGCTACAGTTTGGTCTGATACCTAATCTCATTCTCCAACAGGTCACATGCAGGAAGTCAGAAAGTCTTAGAAGGGTTTTGAAGTTCCAGCACTCCAGCACACAGACTTTCTGCTCTGCACAAAGGTAATTTTAGTGATGAATGGCAGGCTTTACCTGCAAGAAGATGTGGAAATAAGCCACATAAAGCACCATTTTGCAGTACAGAGCACTTGAATGCAAACACGTATTATGGCCATGACAGGGATGGGGAACTCATTATTTCCCTGTGTGCAAATCAAAGTCCCATGACTTGACCTAGACAGTGAGCTTGTAGCTTTATCCAGGCCAGTGATTAGGGCACACTGTTTCCCCCAAATATGGAGACTCCAGGGCAGTGCAAACATGTGGGGGCTGAAATCCGCACAGTTATCTTATTAATATTGACCAGAAGTACGTGGAAAAAGCAGAAGACATTGACTGCCCGTGTCACCTTACAACCTATGCTGCATGTTTAATGAGAACAGAGGCTGCTCTGTGACAGAAGAGTACAAGTGCTACAAGGAAAAAGAGCATTGCCTTTCCCACAGGGTAGAATTGATGTCTTATTCTCTGGGATGTCTCTCTGATTAATAGGCAAAAATATTTTGTTAACTAATTCAACAGAGATGCATTGGGAGCCTTCAGCACATAGCAGCAGTCACTCATGAGACCATAGCGAGACTGCTATCTTGTATTCTCTTCTGGGGAGAACATCCTTCTCCACTTTCTACCCCAAGCTGTTTTCTCAGGTCTGTGTCATACAGTCACTGTATTTAGAGTCTTGAGAACACTGACAACTTTAGCAAGAAGTCCCAGGGGCCTACATCACCGAAGGCAAATAAAGTTCCTTTTATGTGGAAAATAATCACTAGCTTTGGAAATATTTCCAGTGCTACATTTGTCATCTTAAAAAGATTTTTCTCTGGGCTGTACAAAGCATCATCCACCAATCCATAGGAAGTCCTTCACAGAGACACACTGACATTTTTTAACATCCTATCATGCTGCCTCTAACGAGAGCCAAGGCGCAAGGACACAGCATGAACATCTCACTAGTCATATTAGTAAATTAAAAGCACTTGGAGAGGACTTGGTACAGCTCCCAGGACACAGGCACTGCCCTGTTTTACAGGATGCGGTCAAGTGCTCAATTGCACGAGTTTAGGCCCCATGTGGAGCAATTTTTAAATGAATGTTGACAGTGTGTGGAGATTTCTTGAATCCTTCTAATCCTAGGTTTCCACTATTCTGCTGTGCAAAACCAGTTATTTTGGCCAACATTTTCAAATGTGGCTGCCTATATAAGCAGGCTGATTCACAGAGGTACAAAGCTTCCTTGATTGCGAACACTCTAAACGCCCCTGCATTTTCTCAAGTTTCAGAGGGTCACCTGCAACGTGGTCCTTGCTGTTGTGATGCCTACAAGTCTAGCAGCACCCAAGAGAATGCAAAGCACCTAAGAGCCTCCGGGGCCTCTTGCTGTCTGGTGACAGTTGGGTGCTGCATCTCAACAGGGAGATGTTAGAGGTACCTGATGAAGGGATTTTGCACTGTTAGTCTACAGCAGTCCAGAACCATGTTCTCCTCTCCTACCGCAAAGATGGGTGTAGTAACACCTGGCAGATGGGCAAGGCAGGCTCCTAGTACTACTGCATATAACCCCAACAAGACTGATCCCAGCAAGGCTTTAGTTTCTCTGAACTATCTTAAACCTTGGTAACAGTATACGCCATTTGGTTTCCAAACCACTAGCTAGTAGCTAAAGCTGTAGCTGCAAAGTGAGTAAGGCAATATGTACAGAAGGCAGCAAGACATGAGTTCCTGGGAAGCTTTGAAAAGTGAGGCTATAACTCAGTCTCCCAGAAAACATCAGTCACCCTTGCATATTGTCATGCTTGGATATCTCTTAGTGCAGAACTGAAAACATTAATGAACATGCTGCTTTCAGCTTTCAGAGGATAGATATTGTAATGATTATTGGCTGCATCACAATCTCATATGCAGGGCACGTTTTGCCATGTGCAGTATCTGGAAAAATCCACTACAGCATTAAAATACCACCTCTGTACATGATCTTTTACAGACAAAGGCTTTTAAGACCCAAAGATACAAATTAGCAAGTTATTACTAACACAAAAGGCTAATGAAGGGGATCACGCTTGACAGTTTCATCTCCAACAACAGAAAAAACATTTGGTCTTTTACCTGGCATTGGAGGAGAATATAACCAGAAAAAAATGCAATGTTCTTATTTATAGAACATCAATGTCAAGGTGAAACCAAAGAGGCTTATTTTCTTTTAATGCACAAGACTGTCACACTGTCAAAACAGCTTGTTTTTTATCTTCTATCACAGTTTGTGAAAATCCTTTTTTTTTCTTTTTTAGTAAGAATTCCTTGAAAAATCAAGAGATTTTTTTCTTACTTTTCATACATCATTCCGAGATCAAGGCAGTCCCTCCTGGTCTCAATACTGTGATGTATAATGTCAGGCCAGAGACTTGGAGAAGGGAGATGAAAGATACAGAGGAAGACAGGTTTTGTTGCAGAGTATAGCCACAGTAATGAGAATCTTCCTGTTCCAGATAGCACTGAAACAGTGAGGCAAATAGCTTGTTATACTACATTCGTTGTACACCTTTTAATTCACAGAGACAATGCTGTGCACTAAAAGAACTGTGGACAAATCTAACAGAGATCAATCTTTGCCTAATCCATGTATTGTAAAGAGAAAGATGACCGGTCTACCTTCAGTCTTAGCCTAAAGAAGAGAAGACAGAGAGGATCTTATCAGTGTGTGCAAATACCTTAAGGGCTAGGTTCAGGAGGACAGGGCCAGGCTATTTTCAGTGGTGGCAATCAACAGGAAAAAAAAGGCAATGGCCACAAACTGAAACAAAGGGAAGTGCATCTGAACATGAGGAAAAACTTCTTGTATGTGAGGGTAAGAGAGTGCTAGAGCAGGTTGCCCAGAGAGGCTGTGAAGTCTCCTTCTCTGGACACATTCAAAGCCCACCTGATGTGATCCTAAGCAATGTGCTCTAGGTGACCCTGCTTGAGCAAGGAAGCTGGACTAAATGATCTCTGGAAATCCCTTGAAACCCCAACCATTTCATATGATTCTGTGAAGTGCATCTGAAATACTTCAGAACTGCTTAGAAAACTGATATTTCAATTTACTCCTCCTGCTGTCCCCAAGGGCAGATGCTATGATCATTGAAGGGTTGAAGTATGCTTTTAAAGTAACATCAAGCATTATGGGGAATTATGCTGAGCACAAGAGTTTGGTATCAGATCCCCTGCCGCTCTTCTGGGCAGCATGTTTCTTTGGGGACACCAAGCTCTGGGAAAGCCCTGCCTGGTGTGTTCGCAAGGGTGCCTGGCTCTCAGACAATGCCATTCTTCTGGGGGAAGGCACTGCCCTAGGCTGTTTGTTCAGTGAAAGGGCCAGGGTCACTGACAGATCCCATCATTTCACTGTAGTGCAACTCTGCTGACATTTCTTTACTCCAGGGGAAAATCTGCCTCATTGTATTTTCTGACCCTCAGCCCATATGATCTAGCCACGCACTAATTATCTCCTGTGGTGTCCGTGGAGAAGTAAGCCATGGCAAATATACTGTCTGCACACTCTGGGGGATAGGACTCACAAGGAGACTGTTGGCCTGGCCAGAAGAGGCTCCCCCAAAATACCTTTCAAGCCAAGAGGAAGAGTTTCTCAGAGGACAATTTGCAGTGGTGAGTCAATAACCCCCTGGAGTGCCAGTCTCTGGACTACAATGGGAAAAGAGGGACAAGACCTACAAAAAGATCCTAGTATATTCTAGCCCAGAAGGGTGGCCTTGACTGCAAAAATTTAGACATCTCAAAGTTAGATATCTAAACATAAGCTCAAGCCCTGAGACCTCCTGTATAGCGAGGGGAAAGAATCAGGCACTTCATCTCAGCCTGGGAGGAACTTTTCATGACAGGAATTATGTTCTCATCAGCACTTTGGTCAAGTCTGAGTCATTTTTCTCCTCTTCCTATTTCCAAATGGAAATGGGACCTTCTGCACAGATCATCTCCTCTCAAAGCCATTCGTCTCAGAGTGGGTGAGCAGAAAAGCAGCTGCCACTTGCTGCCTCACACATAGCTCCATTTCACTTAGTTGTCAGTGATTCCCATACAAGTTCAGGCATCTTTCAAGACAAAAATAACTCTAGGAATATTACTACTGCAATATTTTACTAGTCTTCTAAAAATAGGGTAGCTAACACATAAAGAATAAAAGAATTAAGGTATTAGCTAAAGAAAGGAATTTGAAGACTAGACATATTCCCCCCTTAAAATGGCTATGAAGATCACTGTATGTATTAAACACACCTGAGATCCTAGGAAAAGGAAATTCCCAAACATGACCCTTGCAAAGGACACAATGAATAAACTGCTGTGGTTACATATTAACTCCATTCCTCTGTGACTGAACAGAGAACCAGCACCAGAATTAGAGAGCAGAAAGGCCAGCACTGCAGTGTGTAATTTTTACACTTCAATCAGAGATTTAATTGGTGCCTATGTGTTGTTCTGTCACACTGCATGATGAGGAGTCTGTCTTGAGAGGGCAGGTTAAAGATGAAGCTTCAGAACACCTGGTTCTTTAGTTTGCAGTCAAGTATTGTCTGACAACTGCCTGAGATCAAGCAGCTCTGTAACTTGGAGCAGGGGGTCTCAGTGCCTGAGCCTTGGCAAACACATTCCCTTTCCTCAGCAGGCAGCCGGATAAATCAAGCAGAAGAGATCACTGCAATGGGAAGCA